AGGCGTCCAATTATTGTAATTCAGTTCGTTCGTTCCAACCATATGTTTGTCCGTCCGTCCGTGCGTTCGCCATTTTCTCATCTTAGTCCAGCTGACCGTACGTCCGATTGTCCCTACCTCCGTCCGTCACCCTCGCCCCCCCGAGGTACAGATCCTACAACTCTGCTCTAACACTTTATGTAGCACAGACGTAAATCGGTGTATTTGTGTCTGCAGGTTAAATTAGCATTTTAAAAAGCACTACAATCACCTTCTGGGGTTGATTGTTCAATAAATCACTGAACTATATGTTTAACAGATCTCTAACTCTGTCCATGTAGGACGGAAGAAAATGTATATATGCTGGTTAGCATTGCAAATGTCTGGCCACGTCTGTGGTAGAAAATAAAAACACCACCTATTTACACTTGACTACAATAAAGAGGAGAGTTTAGCATCAGGGAAAAGCGCCAAGTCATTAGACTATATAGCACTTGGAAGGGTTTCAGGATTTGGGGTGGGACGAAGGGAAGGAATAATGCCTAGCCACTTGGACGGTCGGGGATTGAACGCCGACCTGCATGAAGCGAGACCGTCGCTCTACCGTCCAGCCCGCTAGAGAGTAACTAAAGCTACTGAAAAATAAAAGTCATTTTATCTGCCTACGACATCGACGTTTAATTCATTTATTATGCAACCCATATTCCCATCCTGTGACTGGTAGTGACCCCATACCCATCCTGTAGGTGGTAGTAGACCCCATACCCATCCTGTAGGTGGTAGTGGACCCCATACCCATCCTGTGACTGGTAGTGACCCCATACCCATCCTGTAGGTGGTAGTAGACCCCATACCCATCCTGTGGTATGGCGTCCACTGCCGTAACAGCTTAGTTTATAGCCCACTACAGCTTAGATTAGAGCCACTCGTAGCTTAGGAGGTTACACCCCATCACAGCTTACATTACAACTTATCACAGCTAAGATTAGAGCCCCTTAAAGCTTATATTAAGGCCAGACTTAGAGCACTCTACCACCCTCACAAGCTTGACCCCTCACATCCATGCCTGCACCACAAGCTTTAAACAACACCCTCACCACTACCACCACTCAAGTTGCCATTACAGGCACTAGTAGCATGAGGGGGGGGGTCTGGCACTAGTAGCATGAGGAGGGGTCTGGCACTAGTAGCATGAGGAGGGGGTCTGGCACTAGTAGCATGAGGGGGGGGTCTGGCACTAGTAGCATGAGGAGGGGTCTGGCACTAGTAGCACTCACTAGTACTCACAGTACTGTGGCGCAGATCAACACACGTTAACCTCTACACTACAGCAGCTGTTCTTCTCTCGATCACCGTTGGAGAGTTTCTATAGCAGTTTATCTCTCACTATAGTTCTCTGTTGTTTATAGTAACACAGAAAGGGTATCGCAGTCAAATACGAGTTCCTACGGTATGTCAGTGCAGGACTATAGGCCCTTGACCCTTCAACCTTCCTACCTCAGGTCTTTAAGGTCTAACCAACTTGCAACTCGTAAAAAATATTCGACAGTCGACTTCATATGACGTATCTCCCCCCAACACTGCTTTAGCCAGAGGAGCGGATAGAGTAAGTGTGGAATTCTTTGAAGGAAAAGTGTTGTGCATCCTGCCCAGGATAAGAGCCACAATTGGTGGGGATTTGACTACTCTCCGCCTCGTGCAAGCGTGGGAATGTTCCTGATGATACTACTACACCTCCCCCTCCCCCCCCTCTCTCTCTCTCTCTCTCTCTCTCTCTCTCTCTCTCTCTCTCTCTCTCTCTCTCTCTCTCTCTCTCTCTCTCTCCCCTCTCTCTCTCTCTCTCTCCTTGTAACTAGTGGGTGGGAACGTGATTTTATCAAGGTGTAAATGTTTACTTCAGAGCGGTGTGTGTGGGAGTACATGGCTGGTACTCTCACCGGTGTGTGGGAGTACATGGCTGGTACTCTCACCCGGTGTGTGGGAGTACATGGCTGGTACTCTCACTGGTGTGTGGGAGTACATGGCTGGTACTCTCACCCGGTGTCTGGGAGTACATGGCTGGTACTCTCACCGGTGTGCGTGAGAGCACGTGGCTGGTACTCTGACGAGTGCGTTACACCAAGTAAACACAGCACCAGACCCTGTACGGCACTACTAGCATGCGTCTCCAGTTCGTCAAACATAGCTGTGATCTCAGAGTAAATATATCCGGCTAGGCAACAGGCCCTCGCTCGTGGCTCTCTCTGCACTCTGGGGGACTTAAATTGCACCACAATGCATGCAGCGCTTCAAGATCGCAGATAAAACACAGCGAGTCTTAATGAGTAAATGTTTACTAACACTATGTAACATTGCTGATGCGCCTGTTCACCTAGCAGTAAAATAGGTACCTGGGAGTTAGACAGCTGCTACGGGCTGCTTCCTGGGGGTGTGTAACAAAAAGGAGGCATGGTCGAGGGTCTGGTGGAGGACCGGGCCACGGGGGACGCTAAACCCCGAAATCATCTCAAGATAACCTCAAGAAGAAGATAGCCTAATCACTATCATTGCACTGCAAGTCCTCCCTGCTGCTCAACAGCTCGTGCAACACGCCAAGTGATATTTAAAGAATAAAGCAAAGTCTCTCTCTACATGTCAAGTCTATTCAAATATTTACATGCCGTTAGTCGCGACCAAACTCACTTGGTTTACCGCTGCTGCCACCAGCCAGTCGCATGTTGTGTACAGCACTTATAGCAGGCGGACAGGGGGTGGTAGGGGGTGGTAGGGGCGGCGGTGCTGGTGGGGGGGGTGGTGGCGCTGGTGGGGGGTGGCGGCACTGGTGGGGGGTGGTGGCGCTGGTAGGGGGTGGCGACGCTGGTAGGGGGTGGTGGCGCTGGTAGGGGGGTGGTGGTGGTGGTGGAACTTACCTATCAATAAATCCCGGAGTCTACGGGAAAAGAGTAAGATATGGTTCCTTAAACCTATCCTTATAGCTTGGCCCTCTTGACTCTGGCACTGGTGGTGGTAGTGGTCGTGGTGGTGGTAGTGGAAGTCGTTGTAGTAGTGGTAATTGTAGTTTTGGTGGTAGATGATGGAGGTGACGGAGAGGGGGTGATGGAGGGGGGGAGTGGAGGTGATGGAGGGGGGGAGTGGAGGTGATGGAGGGGGGGAGTGGAGGTGATTAGGGGGGGAGTGGAGGTGATTAGGGGGGGAGTGGAGGTAATGGGGGGGGGGATGAAATGCATGTGCAACCCGTCCTCGACTCAAGTCCATTACATCCAGCGGTCGACCCCACAGACACATTCATAAATTTTAACATGCTGTTCATTCAAAACGGAAATTTTTCTCAAATATAGATTAATATTATAATATATTAGCATATTGTGCATATATAGGCATAGGTTAGGTTAGGTGTTTAGGTTCTGTTGGCGATTATTTGTATTTGTAGTACGTGGGTGAAGCATTTACAGCGTTGTGGTTCGAACAAAATTCGTCAGTGAAGCAGTTGTTCCGGAAGTGTTCGAACCCCGTCAGTTGTAAGTCGTATGTAAACCGTTTTTCATTCATAAACAGGGGGGGGGGGGGTTTGGCGGGTGGATGGAATCACTTTTGGGTCTTTGGAAGACGGGCTGACATGTGGGAGACTGCAGGGTCGAGCGTCAGCTCGAAACCCCGCTTCCTGGACAGTTTATAGCTGATATTTGCATTTAAAATTGTATACCGAGTTCGCGTCCAAACTTCTTCGTCTAACCCCTTCCACGTATTGACATCTATAACACCGAAGAAGTTCTTTCTACCGTCCGACTCATTCGTGTCCAGCTTCCATCTATGCTCTACGTGCTTTGAACCTTGCGTTTTTTTTCCATTTGGCCATGTTCCTCATAATCTTTCAAGTCGTTAACATGTTCCCCCCAATATTCCTCCTCACCTCCAGTTAGGTGAAGTCCAATTCCCACTTTATTTCCCCCGTAACTCTGCTCCCACAGCTCACGAACGAGATTTGTTGTCCATCTATTGGACAATTTCTAGGTTTGTTTTCATCATTTTCTGATAGTGAATCTATGCCGGGGCTGCATACGTAAGAGGGAGTCGCTCAAAGGCTTTGAAAGCTTTCTTGTGCAAGTTCCTGAAGGTTATATGGATGTTGGACAGTGTGACATACATTATTGGAAGTGTCAGAACATTTCATAGTGTAGTACATATGTATTCAACATACGCAAGACACCTCTCCATAGCTGAGGGGTCAGTGCGTATATATATAGTACTTACGCACAGTCTCCTTTCACAGTTAAGGATCAGTATGCATGCCCACTGTGTACCCACAGTCCCCCCCCCAACCACATTTAAGGGTCAGTATGCATGCACAGTCCCCTCCCTCCCCCCCCCTCTACAGCTAAGGGTCAGTCTACATGTATACTACACATGCACAGTACCCCTCCCCTCCCTCCCCCCCCCTCTACAGCTAAGGGTCAGTCTACATGTATACTACACATGTATACTACACATGTACAGTCCCCTCCCTCCCCCCCCCTCTACAGCTAAGGGTCAGTCTACATGCACAGTTTCCCATCACAGCTAAGAGCCGGTGCGCCTGCACGCTACATACGCACAGTCTCCCTCTCCTGGGCCGCTGGTCAGTGGGCACCACATACCAAAATATAGTAGAAAAAAAATTAAACAAGAAGTTATAATTACAATATAATTTTTTTTTTTTTTTTACTCTCAATCTGGAAAACTATTTCCTTTTGTGTTTATCAAATTGTTTACAGTCCCAATACATACATACATACATACATACATACATACATACATACATACATACATACATACATACATACATACAATACATTACATACATAACATACATATACTAAATGTTAAACATAGGAGACATGTCTAAAAGATAGGCATGTCTGTCCTCCCGTGTAGGAATACATGGTGCTATAGTATGTATACACGTATAAAATGAGCAATACATGATACATATCAAGGAGGCAGTATGCATTGGGCAAAATAATTAAGTGCAGCGTTGTACACAGGCGTGGTACACGTGTGTGCAGCAGTCAACAGTGCCACCAGTCAACAGTGCCACCAGTCAACGGCACCACCAGTCAACAGTGCCACCAGTCAACAGTGCCACCAGTCAACGGCACCACCAGTCTACAGTGCCACTAGTCTACAGTGCCACCAGTCAACAGTGCCACCAATCAACAGTGCCACCAATCAACAGTGCCACCAGTCAACGGCACCACCAGTCTACAGTGCCACCAGTCAACAGTGCCACCAGTCAACAGTGCCACCAGTCAACGGCACCACCAGTCAACAGTGCCACCAGTCAACAGTGCCACCAGTCAACAGTGCCACCAGTCAACGGCACCACAAGTGTACAGTGCCACCAGTCAACGGCACCACCAGTCAACAGTGCCACCAGTCAACGGCACCACCAGTCTACAGTGCCACTAGTCTACAGTGCCACCAGTCAACAGTGCCACCAATCAACAGTGCCACCAGTCAACGGCACCACCAGTCTACAGTGCCACCAGTCAACAGTGCCACCAGTCAACAGTGCCACCAGTCAACGGCACCACCAGTCAACAGTGCCACCAGTCAACAGTGCCACCAGTCAACAGTGCCACCAGTCAACGGCACCACAAGTGTACAGTGCCACCAGTCAACGGCACCACCAGTCAACAGTGCCACCAGTCAACGGCACCACCAGTCTACAGTGCCACTAGTCTACAGTGCCACCAGTCAACAGTGCCACCAATCAACAGTGCCACCAGTCAACGGCACCACCAGTCTACAGTGCCACCAGTCAACAGTGCCACCAGTCAACAGTGCCACCAGTCAACAGTGCCACCAGTCAACGGCACCACCAGTCAACAGTGCCACCAGTCAACGGCACCACAAGTGTACAGTGCCACCAGTCAACAGTGCCACCAGTCAACGGCACCACCAGTCTACAGTGCCACCAGTCAACGGCACCACCAGTCTACAGTGCCACCAGTTAACGGCACCACCAGTCTACAGTGCCACCAGTTAACGGCACCACCAGTCAACAGTGCCACCCAGGGGCCCCTGCGCCCAAGCAGGACTGATGAATGTGCAACAAATATATCTCTGGCACTCTGGATATAGGGAGGAGGAAGGGGGGGGAGGGAGGCTATTGGATAAAGAATATGTTAATGGGTTAGATTTTGTTAAGAAGTGACATGCATTAAGAGGCCTTTATTATCGAAAGTTGAGAGATTTAGTAGGACTTTAGTGGAGGGTGGTGCAGTGCGGCGCCTCGGGCAGAGATGGCAAGGCATTGTTCCTCCCTGCAATAAATCTTGCAACTTGCTCGATGAATTTCCTTTGAAGTATACTTATGAGAAGGTCGGCATTGTTGCGTCTCCGGACGGACCTTTTTGTGTGTGTGTGCCTCGGCTTTATGCTCTATTCGTTCCCTGTAAACATTTATTGATCTGAAACATAGTTTTGAGCAATATTGGGAGGCGTTACTTCAGACAGCTGAAGGATATCAAATGGGTTAAGGAAGACATGATGGAAATGAATTCGTTTTCCCTACGTAGTCGACAGTACAGCAAGTGTGTGTGGGGGGGGGGGGGGGTGTACAAAAGATTTTGAAATGATGTAATTAGCGTGATAGGAGCTGTGGGAGCGGAGAGGAGCGTGGCGTGTGACTGGTAGGCCTGTCAGACCAACTTTCTCACTCACACAACACCAGCGCGGAGTTCACGCGTCCAGACCACCAACTCTCTCAGCTCTGCCACACCTCGCTGCTCAGAATAATTCCCACCGATTACTTACAACTTCATATACATGCACGACTCTCCGTTATTAAACGCGTGTGAGAAGAAGGTAGTTTATACTTCAAGTGAGATTCCTTTTAGCTGTTTTTCTTGGATGGAAAAATCTTTTTCTGGGGAGAGTTGCAATGTGCAGTAGTTGGCCCCGCCCCGCCCAGAGCGCTCATTGGTTCAGCACCCCCACGACCCGCCAACCAGAGGCCGCCCCGCCACCGGACACTGATCAACCTTGCCGCCTTTTGCCGTCAACTTATTTTCACGTTTCAGTTTGTAATGTATTACGTTTCAATTTTGTAGTTGTCATTTGCATTCTATAGGCCACAGGATGAGTTTCGCTACAAAATTACTGAGAAATATGAAAGTAGAGCGGCGGCGGCAAGGGTGTTTGAAGTGATTGTCGGGTGAGGACCAATGGGTGTCCGGGGCGGGCGGGGTCGCGGCCCCGTGGCCTGGTGGCCCGCCCCCTGCCCCGCGCGGCCCGTCCCCGCCCTCCGCCCGGCGGGCCGCAGCACCGCTCGCCCAGTGTACACAGCACAGTGCTCCACGCAGGGTGTGTGACGCGCGCCCCCAACCCTTCAGTGTTAGCCTGCCTCACAGGTCACCCCGCTACCGCTCTTCTGGATACGTGGCCCCGCTGCTCCCCCTTCACACATTGCTCCGCTGTATCAGGATAATACCAACGTGTCCATCCCCCCCTCCCCCAAGTGCCACAGTGGATTATAGTGTGCCAGTGATCATGCCGAACTGGCGGTGCCCAGGAGAGTAAAGTTTGTAACTTGCGAGTTCTCCACCCCTGCCGGAGGTGGTTGTCAATGTTTGTGCCGGAACAGTGCCACGAGAAGATGGCTCTTGTAGTGCCCCCGGGGTCCACGTGGCGAGATCCGCCAGTGTCCCTGCCACCCACCACGGGGGAGGACGTCACCCGAGAGTTGGGTGCCAGCGTCACCCCTCAGCCCGCCGCCCCACAGACGCCCACGCCCAACTCGACGGCGGGCAGCGCGCCCTCGTCGGCGCCCAGCCCCACAGGCGACGACAAGAACGCCCAAAACATGACGTGTGTGGTGTGCAGTGACAAGAGCTCAGGGAAACACTATGGCCAGTTCACCTGTGAAGGTACGCACCACCCACGCACTGCGGCCCGCCCACGCCCCGAGGCCCTCGTCGCCCGGGTCGCCCCGCGCGGCAAGGTCTCACTTGTGCCCGCGGGCCACCGTGACCCAAGGTCACGGGGCCACCGTTACCTGGGGTCACTGTGGCCCGCCATGTTCAGTGTCACACATGTGTCCAGCGCGACATGTCTTGACACCATATTATTTGGACCACTTTGCTTTGCGATAAATGAATAAATATTATTGAAATCTAATCCCCTGACTGGTGGGGCGAGTGTCACAGCCTGCAGACTCTCCTCCACCAGTGTAGAGGCTCCCCACGAGAGTGGGTGGCCCGCCCCCTGAACCCTACTAACCTGCGACCCTCCCCCGCAGGCTGCAAGAGCTTCTTCAAGCGGTCGGTGCGGCGGAACCTGCAGTACTCCTGCCGCGGGAACCGCAACTGTCCGATCGACCAGCACCACCGCAACCAGTGCCAGTACTGCCGACTCAAGAAGTGCTTCAAGGTCGGAATGAGGAGAGAAGGTGAGTGTGACCCGCTATTTTAACATGCGTTAACATGCCTCACCATCGCACATTTTCACGCGTAGTGTCACGCTTCGTGCGCGCGGTGTATGTCGTAACTTAAGTGTCGTAAATACTGGCATGGCGATGCCTGGTTAAGTGCCCCGCGTACCTGGCATGATATTGACATGACAGGTGAAGTACCTAGAAAAAACAGTGCCTAGTGAAGTGCTACTTTTACCCTGGCATGACAGTGACAGGCATGACGGTGACGTGAAAGATGACGAGAGGTGATTTATCAGGAAAGGCAGTGACTTATGACATGCCACACGTATCAAGAAGCCACACGTCTTACTCTAATGCCACACACACATCAAGCACATGTCAAGATTGTCAAGCACGCATCCTGTCATTCATTAATAACCTTAAGTGAAAAATTATGCTAAACTATTTAAGCTATTTCTCCAAGCAATTAATTTCCTTAAAAAAAAAAATAGATCGTGCATTACTCGAACGAGAAGTGCTTCGACGATCGTCAAACCTCTATTAACAGCACCATACTAGAATACAACCCATCCCAACCACAGGAAATACATACGCTAAACACGAAGTATGATACGCACGTGGCATATGAAATTGCAGTAGTAAGACGATCACGTGCGAGGCCGACATTATCTCGGCGTGAAAGGGAAAACTACAGTGCCACCCCCGCTAATTTAAGGAAGACAAAAAGCTAAGCTGACCTATCAGTAGTTGTATCAGGCGCTAAGTACTGGTGACGGGCTGCCCGCGGGACCAACCTTACACGGTGAGGCCACTCACACCAGTTTAGTGGATTCTCCTCTTTAATAAATATGATAAAGTACGTCATCGCGCCCGCACCTCCGACCATTAAGTCTTCGGCAAAAACTGGGCCCCTGGCATAGACTTGGCCGTGTTGTCTTGAGCACGGGACTGTCTTAAAGTTTGGCGGTCGGTTCACCACTGTATTGTAGTCTGCCGTGGCTAATTTAAGTACAAATTGTGTCTGTGCAATAACGAGGAAGGTATATGAGTAGACATCGTCTATAATAAGCAATGCATTGTAAAGTTAGATTAACATCGACTGTGTAAATGTTAATTTTCTAGTTTAATAAGCTGTTCACTTGAGACAATTGAGCAGGTCCCAGCTGTGTCTGGGTACAAGTGATAGGATGAACAACCCAGCGAGTTTTCTTCCTATTGGGTGGTGTTGTACATGCTGCTATGGCGGTATTCCCCAATACTGGTCCTATGGAGATATGTTAACTCACAGGATAAGCGACGCTGTCAAATAAACTGGCCCTTCGGGAGGGTAGAAATAGCCTAAGCTTCTCTATCCTTCTGAGATGTATTTTATTGCCTCAATAAACGTACTTGAACTTGAACTGGGCCTTCGGGCAAAAACAAAAAAATTATATATATCGACTGTGGAACTATATATATTTGTGGTGAATATTTGTGTATATTTTTTAAACTTTCATTGCTGTAAGCAATATATATATATATGGAGTTATCTCTAGACCTGCCGTGCATGCGTCATGCGTGCGTGTTTTCGTTCACGTGTAAGCAACGAACTGCCATTAACTTGCAGTATGCGTGACACTCCAACGCGCAGAAAAAGTCGTCAATCAGGTGAGGAGGATACCGGGACAAGAGGCGGCTTGGCCAGCGAGGGAGGAGGAGGACGGAATACTCCATGTTCACGGCTCCTGACTCGTCACAACATCATTTGAGTTTCCCACCTAGCGACACGCATCGCTGTCTCATGGACCTTATTAATTACTTGCTTCCATTAATGGAGGCAGAAACTGTGAGAGAGAGATTGGATATGAAGATTGGTGAGGATTTATCACGGCAGGCGCCCACGGGCGAGGTTTACCCCCAACCTACAGACAGCTCCTCAAATTAGCCAGTCGTGACAAATTGGGCGATTGAGTGTAGCCGGCGTTGTGAAGGGGGAAGGAACGGCACATGTCACTAATATTTAGGACCCGTGTTTGTAGTGCTTGGACGCAGGAGAATGGTGAAGTGTGGTGGAGAGGGTTGAGGTCCGCCAACCAGCACTGTTCTCCCTCATAAATCAACCACTTTGCATCCCATCCACGTTGTCCGACGGTTGATGGGGGGGGAGAGGTGTGAGAGAGAGAGAGAGAGAGAGAGAGAGAGAGAGAGAGAGAGAGAGAGAGAGAGAGAGAGAGAGAGAGAGAGAGAGAGAGAGAGAGAGAGAGAGAGAGAGAGAGAGAAGGCACGGCGAATATTCGCCCATAAGCGACTATCAATTACAGCATCGCCTCGTCTAACACATACATCATAGGTTAACGATAATTAAGGACAGGTAGCGAGCGATCAAGGCGGCGTGGACTACGGCCGCCGCCACTAAAAGCCAGCGACCGTAAAGACGGAACCCCAGCCTCCTTCCCCCCCCCCTCCCTCCAGGCGAGTCCTCACCAACTACACTATGCTAATTTTATTGGAGGCGTTTCGTATTTGTCAGACAAGTTCGCGCCTCGCGGTGACGGCGCGAAGACCAGTCCAGTAGGCATTTATCTGTGGCTTTATATGTCATTAAACACCTGTGAATGTAAGACACGCCACCGTTTTGTTAAGTCAACTTTGGGGGGGAATAATTGATCGTGTTGATCTTGTCACTTCCAATCTTGACCAGGTTCGTGACCTATAATTGTGGTACTCTGCTGCATACATGAATGCACGTCATACAAGCTATTTATTACAGCCTGCGGTGTGTTTTTCCTCATAATATCTGATGCATTTAATGCCTAGAGGTATGCGAGCTACCAGAACAGCATTTAGTCACGCTAGAAACATCGCGGAGCGTGAGTAATGCTGCGCTAAGACTCCTCGTGTGCTGGGAGTGTGTCAGCACACGCTGAATGTTGAAGGAGGGTATTATAATTAAACTAAAATAGGCGAGCATTGCTCTTGAGTAAATAGGATGCATACGTAAACGGCGCGATAGACTGATTAGTGTGTGCAATATGGCTTAGAATTTGAGTTATGTACACGCGAGAAAGAGAATGCGAGGTGTGTGTGTGTGTGTGTGTGTGTGTGTGTGTGTGTGTGTATGTGTATGTGTATGTGTGTGTGTGTGTGTGTGTGTGTGTGTATGTGTGTGTGTGTGTGTGTGTGTGTGTGTGTGTGTGTATGTGTATGTGTGTGTGTGTATGTGTGTGTGCGTATGTGTGTGTGTGTATGTGTGTGTGTGTATGTGTGTGTGTGTATGTGTGTGTGTGTGTGTGTGTGTGTGTGTGTACTCACCTAGTTGTACTCACCTAGTTGTGTTTGCGGGGGTTGAGCTCTGGCTCTTTGGTCCCGCCTCTCAACCGTCAATCAACAGGTGTACAGATTCCTGAGCCTATCGGGCTCTGTCATATCTACACTTGAAACTGTGTATGGAGTCAGCCTCCACCACATCACCCCCTAATGCATTCCATTTGTCAACCACTCTGACACTAAAAAAGTTCTTTCTAATATCTCTGTGGCTCATTTGGGCACTCAGTTTCCACCTGTGTCCCCTTGTGCGTGTTCCCCTTGTGTTAAATAGACTGTCTTTATCTACCCTATCAATCCCCTTCAGAATCTTGAATGTGGTGATCATGTGTGTGTGTGTGTGTGTGTGTGTGTGTGTGTGTGTGTGTGTGTGTGTGTGTGTGTGTGTGTGTATGTGTGTGTATGTGTGTGTATGTGTGTGTGTGTGTGTGTGTGTGTGTGTGTATGTGTATGTGTATGTGTATGTGTGTGTGTGTGTGTGTGTGTGTAGGTGTAAACTAGCACCTTTACAAGGGAGCACAGCTCACACTTGACAGGAGCGCCGCTCACAATGCTCAACTAACACGCTAACACAAAACAGTGAAATGCGCGGGAAAGTTTACCCAAACAAGCGAGGAGGGGGAAAAAAAAAAACACCCAGAAAGGCGCGAAAATTGTCAATGACATAAAATAAGACAGTAACTGATGCGCGCACACACAAAACCTCTCCAGCGTAACGATACTAATGTTAGGTTATCGAACAAAATATAGCATTGAACAGAGCGGACATTAAAGAAGGCAATGAAGAGGGGGCGGGAATCGACCCAAACACGCGAGAACTAATAATTGATAATACCAAGCAACCACACGAGAGAAAAAAACACCACACCAACCACGCAAGCCACACAATAGCACCAACCACGTGGGTGCTAACTGCTGTTAACAGGTTATAATGGCAGTGTCAGTGGGCGATAATGGGGGTAGTTGCAGTGGGCGATAATGGTGGTAGTTGCAGTGGGCGATAATGGTGGTAGTTGCAGTGGGCGATAATGGTGGTAGTTGCAGTGGGCGATAATGGTGGTAGTTGCAGTGGGTGATAATGGTGGTAGTTGCAGTGGGCGATAATGGTGGTAGTTGCAGTGGGTGATAATGGTGGTAGTTGCAGTGGGCGATAATGGTGGTAGTTGCAGTGGGCGATAATGGTGGTAGTTGCAGTGGGTGATAATGGTGGTAGTTGCAGTGGGCGATAATGGTGGTAATGTTAATGCGCTCATTATGCAGTGATGATGGTGTACCGGCGGTACACCATCATTTGAATAGGTTGGTGAATGGTGAGTGGCGCTGAGCTGGTGGGGGATGGGGAACGAGTGAGGGGAGTGAGGGGAAGGGGAACAGAAGTGAGTATAACCTATCATACCTGAGCGCCAGAGCCCTTACGGGCTATTCATGCCCGTGCCACCTCTTGGGTGGCTTAATCTTCATCAATCAATCAATCGCCAGAGCCTATAACCATTCATTTCTACGACTTGCTGGAGCTTGTAAACTGCTGATGTATGTATAAATGTGTTACGTTATTATTTGTTAAGAGTTAGAGGTGGTGATGGTGGCGATTTTGGTGGTGGGGGTGATTACGGGCAGGATGACGGAAGGTTTGCTGTCATGTTTCAGGACTGGCGAGAGGAGTGGAGCTGGTACCAGTGGGAGTAGGCTAGCCAGGAGGATGAAGGATCTGGAATGGCTAAACTTTTTTTTTATGTGTGTGATTCCTGATAATTTAACCACTTAAAACCTGACAAGAGACCATGTTGTTTCGCATTGTTTGTTGTACATGTTTAAATATAAAGCAACTGGCTGTGATAAAAAATTATTTACAGTTAAGTTTGCAAAAAAATAAAAAATAAAGTGAAAGAGCAAATTATCAACTTTCGTAATCTATAGTCTCACAAACCATGAATTCCAAGGAAGTATCTGTCAATACACCCACTTGCTCAGACTGGGACCAGCTTCACAAAGCTGTGTAAAGGTGCTCATAATTTATTGTCAACGGGATAATTTGTTGCTCGCTAGTGCAGACTAACGGTCTTAACTGTATTAAATGTGTCATATTGCATAAAAAAACTGCCTTTAGCTGCAGGCAAAAATTATCAGCGGAGTTATCAGCTGTCTTCTGCATGAAAACGGCTTCAGCCACAAATATAAAAGCCTTCAGCTGCATAAACAATGGCCTTCAGCCGCTTAAATAATTGCCCTAAAGCTGCCGTTGCCCTTTAATAAAGTTGTGGCTCTTTTCAGAAAAAAATAATGGGCAGCACCTTCTTCTCATCAGCAACTCAAACTTCCCCCATGGCAGGCTTCCGACCGAGCAAGGCAAGTGGTCTCTGGTCTCTTTAAGTGGTCTCTTGAAGGGGGATTTCAAAAGGGGAGAAATAGGTAGCAGTGCAGCCCTTCCTCCGCGAGTTCATAGTGTGTATATCCCATGTGGTGCAGTCACCATCAGCAGCACCATCAACCTCTCGTTATCAACTCTTGCGCTCCGCCTCCCCCCCTCTTCTTCCGGGCACCAAGTTCCGTCGCTCGTGACTCGTGCTCCGAGCCCGGCGAGCCTCAACTCGTAGCCCTTGCACTTGCCCATGTTAGTAAAGCGTTAAGAGTTCGTTCTGTTTAGTTATCGCTTATGAGTCGGATTACGTGTGTGTGTGTAATGATACCAGTCCGAGTTTACATTGGTGTTATCCGAGCACAGGAATCCCGTAATTCTGGACCGAGTCTTGCAATCAGCAAGAAATTTGTAGTATATCCGACCGAGAGTAACAATGATCACTGGACAACGTAAGTCCGACTATCTTGACCAATGACAGAGTAAGCATGATGTATTAAGAGTGTGAAGTGCATTTGATATATATATATATATATATATATATATATATATATATATATATATATATATATATATATATATATATATATATATTTCTAGGTTTCCCGGCTAATTGTGTTTATTTACTGTAAATGTTTCACGTATTAGACCAAGCAATGTATTTGTACAGAGATTTATTTTTCAATATGCCTATGTATATGTATGTTCATGTAGTGTTATGCATCTTGTTGTGGTTGTAGGGGTTGATCTTCAACTCTTTGGTCCCGCCTCCCAACCTTCAATCGACTAGTGTGTGTGTGTGTGTGTGTGTGTGTGTGTGTGTGTGTGTGTGTGTGTGTGTGAGAGAGAGAGAGAGAGAGAGAGAGAGAGAGAGAGAGAGAGAGTAGCTTTTTTGGGGGTGCACTGTTTACTACACCTACCTGTGTACAACTGTACACAGATGTAAACATACAGGTGTAAGCAAACTGTTCATACATTAGTCGTATAACACCCACGCCAAATACGCTAGTCGGTTGTCTGCCATGTCAATTCCTCTGTGAATTGTGTATCTTGTGATAATGTCTTCCGTAATTTCTTTGTATGTGCCTGACACGTTTGATTCCTTTCGGCTTTCTTTGCAACTCATGCCTTGTATCTCTAGTACTAGACTCTGTCCAGGTGTACTGGTCTGATGTAAGCTGATATTTAGCCATACATAGAGCCTTCTCATAATGACTTTGACTGTAAATTGACTGTGTGCGTGAGCGAGCAAGCGCGTATATGTACTCACCTAGTTGTGCTTGCGCTGGTTGAACTTTGGCTCTTTGGTCCCGCTTCTCAACTGTCAATCTACTGGTGTACAGATTCATGAGCTTCTCAAGCTTTTATCATATCTACATTTGAAACTGTGTATGGAGTCAGCCTCCATCACATCACTTCGTAATGCATTCCATTTACTAACTACTCTGACACTGAAAAAGTTCTTTCTAATGACTCTATAGCTCATTTGGGTACTCAGCTTCCACCTGTGTCCCCTTGTGAGTGTACCACCCATGTTAAATAATCCATCCTTGTCTAATCTGTCAATTCCCCTGAGAAATTTTGTATATGGTGATCATGTTTCCCCAAGCTCTTCTGTCTTCCATGGACGTGAGGTGCAGTTCACGCAGCCTTTCCTCATAACTCATGCCTCTTAGTTCTAGGGACTAGCTATGCGCGCGCGCATAATGTGTTACTCTTTGACATAGTGTGCTCTTTGACACTGTTACTCTTGACATAGTGTGTGCGCGCGCACACGCACGCACGCGCACACACACGGGCGCACACACACACACACACACACACACACACACACACACACACACACACACACACACACACACAGAGTGTGTGTGTGTGTGTGTGTGTGTGTGTGTGTGTGTGTGTAATTATTATCTATTTAATGTTTCCAATTTGTAGTTGCAAAACCAGTACTGTTCTGGTTCTGTACCGGTTTCTTTGAATATTTACAATTTGCAGAAGTTGTCGGATGGACAACTTCAGTTCATGTCAATCGTTTATCTATCTTCAGTCCATCCTCCAGTTGAGGTAGTACTCATAGTACCAATGACGACTATCATACATATATTGACGTAAAAGGCAATTAGAATGTAGATAAAAGTAGCTAGTGAATTTGGACAAACCCGACAAGGTGTTGTATTTATGTTGCCAAGGATATCTAAACTAGCCTAACCTAACCTTCCTAGGTCTAATATACGCCACCTGAAGCTTAATATAGTACGTATATGTGCTATAGGAATAGCACATATACGTATACGAATAGCGCATATAAATAGCACATATGCCTAGGAATATTTAAGTTTTTTTTTTTTAGCTTTATTTTGTTTACTCTTATAAAGTGAATAGTACCAAATTCTACTATCTAATTGGCCTTTTACGTCAATATATGTACGATGGTGCACATAGTCAAATAAGTACTATCTAAGCAGGAGGATGGGTTGCTATATTAGATAAAATTATTCTTTTTAGCCACTTTTTCTGTAGCTCACAACTGTGGCCTGTTTTTCTTGTCTAAAACACCCGCTTTGTTTTCCTTTATCCAGTTACATAAACAAACTTGCACGTGGGTCCAGTACCGTTTTTTGTGGGGGTGTCAGTTTGGCCATATTATTAAAAGCCTTGAACATTTCTTCAAAAATTTGCATCTCCGCGTTCATGGGAATTAACTCATTTTGTTGAAAACCTTCGGATTCGACCTTTTGTATTTTACTCGCCTGCCTCCTCCTCTATAAGGTGCAGTCAGCATAACATGTTTTGTACAGCTCTTATCTTGTTTAGCTCTGGCATATGCTGAAACTTATTTATTTTTGGCGTTTATCCACGTACGTAAACGTTTACCACTATTGTGAAGGCCTGGAACTTGTTTTGTACATTTTTTTTTTTTTTGAAGGTGAAGTATTACTTACAATAAGTAAGTACTTTTCTTTTAGTTGTAAACTCTGCTGGTAAAATTCCCCCCTTGTGTTACTGGCTTTGCAAGAATGTAAAAAAAAAAATACCAATATAATGTAATCTCAAAAACCCATTGTATCTCCTTGTACGTAAATAAATTGTTAAGCTGACTTGTGTGTGTGTGTGTGTGTGTGTTTCCAGGAAATGATCTCTGGCTCCTGGGTTCTGCCTGTCAGCTCAGTTTTTACTGAAATGACTTCTAAGCCTCTTCTACTCATGATAGTCATACCTACGTTCAAAGTCGCTCTGCACCACTCCTATCCTAACTTATTTTAACCGTACTCTTCTTTAAGGTATCTTCACAGCCCAAAGACTCTCCACTTCACAGATTAAACTACAGTTTATCATTTACTAGTATTATATAATTGACAAAGAGCATATGTGTGTGTGTGTGTGTGTGTGTGTGTGTGTGTGTGTGTGTGTGTGTGTGTGTGTGTGTGTGTGTGTGTGTGTGTGTGTGTGTGTGTGTGTGTAAATTACGAAAAATAAACACGTGATTAAAATGCGACAGTGTCAGACCACGGAGGAAAATTGAAACAGGAATTTCCTTAAGTACTTTCGTATATTAATACATCTTCAGAAGGACTCACTCCTTCTGAAGATGTATGTATATGTATATATATATGGCACTTGCATCCGAGTATCGTGTATGTTGTGATCAGGTCTATTTCTCCTCTTTTTTTTTTCTCTAACCCCATGTGCATGTGTTGGGTGCACACACAACCCGTTCTCGCACTTGCTTATGGTCAATATTGGCTTATTTAATAAGTGCATATGTGACATACTAATTGATTGTGAATATTTTAGTTTACCTTGAAAAGCTTCATAGAAAACACCGACCTCACCTAACCTTCTTAGTATGTTAGTATCTCCCTAACCTTCTTAGTATAAGCATCTTATTGCTTCTTAATTACAATTATTACTTAACCTATACCGTTGATAGGTTAAGTAATAACTGTAAATTAGAAGCAATAAGAGCCTTATCTTAACATACTAAGAAGGTTAGGTGAGGTCGGTGTTTTCTATGAAGCTTTTCAAGGTAAACTAAAATATTCACAATCAATTAGTATGTCACATATGCACTTATTAAATAAGCCAATATTGACTAAGCAAGTGCGAGAACGGGTTGGCACACACGTGGCCCCATGCGGGGCTCCGGGAGTAGAACACCTCCCAAACCCTACTCCAGTATATGTTAGGTAAACACTCATTCTTTGGTATTCTTTTGTTATACTGATCGTGTGTCTGAGGAAGTAAAATTCATCTCTCCAGACCTGCTTTACTATCGAAAGGTACCTACTGCATCTGTATTATCATCATCTCCTCCTCTCAAGGAATTATGGTACCTGATGCTGCTGCTAAATAACAACATACTGGAGTGAACGATATGTGAGAAAATGCAGAATAGAACCAGTGAAGAGCAGAGGGGCCATAGGCACAATCAGAGAACACTGTATAAACATCAGAGGTCCACGGTTGTTCAACGTCCTCCCAGCAAGCATAAGAAATATTGACGGAACAACCGTGGACATCTTCAAGAGGAAACTACATAGATTGTTTCCTCCAAGAAGTGCCGGACCAACCGGGCTGTGGTGGGTATGTGGACCTGCGGGCCGCTCCAAGCGACAGCCTGGTGGACCAAACTCTCACAAGTCAAGCCTGGCCTCGGGCCGGGCTTGGGGAGTAGAAGAACTCCCAGAACCCCATCAACCAGGTATATGTGGGCCTGCGGGCCGCTCCAAGCAACAGCCTGGTGGACCAAACTCTCACAAGTCGAGCCTGGCCTCGGGCCGGGCTTGGGGAGTAGAAGAACTCCCAGAACCCCATCAACCAGGTATCAACCAGGTGTTGTGTACGCCTGTGGATGGCCACCACCCCCCTCCGCTACTGGGTCATACTTCTTATTTATCAGTTTTGTGCAAATCCCATGTTCAACTAGTCTGTGTCAGTCTGGATTGAGCTTTAATTCGTGCTTATGTGGTGTGTGTGTGTGTTTACT